AGAAAGTTTTATTATATTTAGAACTATACGTTTAAGTTACTCTTATTAGTTACGTAGAGAATAGATAGAAAAGTTATTATTTATAGATATAGACTATTTCTATATAAGTTATTATAGCTAGTAATAATTAATTAAATAGCTTATAGTATAAGCTACCTATATAAGAGCTAGCTAGAGCTAGATACCTTATATAATAGCCTATATATTAACTATAATACGTTATAATAGATAATACTTTAAGAATATTAATATACTAGTATAGTCTATTATTAGATTCTATATAGCCTTACTAATATTATCTATATACTATATTAATTCTATATTCTATATTATATACTTTATATAGAATAGATTAACTTACTATTCTTATTAAATGCCTTCTCTCTAGTATATCTAAGTAAATAGAGATAAGTAACTTAAGTAAACTCTATAACCTTACCTAAAGTCTAGATCTATAGTAGTAGAGTAGAGTAAGAAAGAAGCTTATTAGAAGAGATACTCTAACTATATAGAGTTTGTACTACTTTCTAAAATATAGAAATATTATCTAATATCTAATTTAGTTATAATAGTAGCTTATTATAGTTTAGTAGAATTATTAGCCTACTTAATTTCTCTAAAAAGATTAGATTATAAGCTATAAATATCTAATTATAGAAGAGTAAGCTAAGAAGAAAGATATATAAACTAAAGAGAAGCGTTTTATTATATATAATTTTAAAGAAAGAAAAGATATTTCTTAGAAAAAAGTTAGTAAGTGTATAAGTTTTAGTATAAAATAATTATATATAAGTCTTTAATACTAAGAAACTTCTTTATAAATTTAAAGATAAACTTTAGTAGTACTTAATAAAAGCTACTCTTAGAATTCTATAGTAGTGTAACTTATATATACTAGTAGTAGAGACTAAAAAGAGTCTAGAGCTAATTTACTATAAATCTATCTAGTTATAGATAGAGCTAGGCTTATATTCTATAGCGTTTATAGAGATATTTCTTTTTAGTTATTACTAGATTTATTTATAGCACTTACACTAGATTCTTAATATATATATAGACCTTATCTTAACTAATCTTCTTTAAATTATACTTTTTTACTAGCTTTCTTAGTATCTATTAATTACGTTAGATATAAATACTTATATAATACTAAATTTAGAAGAGTAGCTTTTTATACCTTATATATACTTTAGTTTATTTTTCTATTTAGTTTTATACTAGTTACTCTTTTATATACTAGATAGAAGACTTTCTAATATATCTCTAAAGAACTAGTAAACTTAGTCTTTTAACATTTTTTACTTTTCTTTCTCTTAAAGTAAATAAGTAGCTACTTAAAGAACGCATATAGAGTAGTAATAGATATAGTTATATAATTATAATTTTAATCTTAGTCTAGGTACGTTTAGTATCTATACTAGAGTAAGTTTATACTTTTTAGTGTAAGCTTTAAAAAGAATAAAAAATATACTAATTCTACTAATCTTCTATATAATTAAGTAAGTAAGTACTACTATTCTTATAGTTCTCTTTTATATACTCTTATTTATTAAAATTCTCTAGTTATTAAAAGTAGTATATAGGTAGATAATTCTTATTAGGTAAAAGCTATATCTTATTCTTATTACTATCTTAAATAATCTAATAGTAATTTAGCTACTAATTTTAGTAGTTTATAATACTATTTCTAAATACTAACTTACTATAAAACCTCTCTAATTATATAGGCTATAGCCTAAGTAGAAGCGTCTCTAGCTTTTCTACCTTAGCTAGTATAGGCGTTAAATAAGTCTAAGAGCTAATTTAGTTTTCTATTAGAAATACTATAGTACGTCTATAACTTAACTTACTCTTCTAAATACTATAAGTAAATACTAACCTAACCTAAGGTTATTCTACTAGTAGAGTATTAAAGGCTTCTTTCTTGCTATCTAGAGTAATATTAATAGAGACTTTATTTTTCTTTTCTTATTTCTCTTTTATAGCCTATATTATTATTTAAACTTTAATTCTTATTATATTATTCTATTCTCTCTTTATATCTTATCTTAGATATATAGCTTTAGTTATATACTCTATCTTTACTTACTCTATCTTTTCTATATCTCTATAAATACTATATAATACGTAATAATATTTACTAGTTAAGAGTTTCTTCTATAATAGTAATTATACTAGATCTAATATATAATAGTATAGAGCTAGACACTAATTAGATAGACGTTAACAAATTTACTAATATTAATAATAAGAGTAATCTTTCTCTTATACGCTTCTTTTAGTTCTATCTACTACTTAGGTATAGAGAAAAATTAAATACTATTATAATACTAAGAAGTAGCTTAAACTATTAATATATATTATATAATAAAATAAAAAGCCTTAGAATTATTTAAGAAGCTTTACCTTATAGTTTTATATAGAGTAAGTTCTCTATAAAGATTTTTATTTCTTTAAAAGGCTGTTATTGTAATATTACAGAGTTGTAAACTTTAAGTAAGTGTTTGATTTTTCTCTGCACCTAGGTGCCGCCCGTTGTGCCTTTCTTCCTGTCCCGCATTCTACACCTACAGACTCGTGTGGCGCTAGCTACCAACCTAAGAACAGGTTTAATGACGTAGAATCTAACCAATCAGCGCCCCGCACCAACGTGCCACAGTAATATATCCTGCCCAGCACGACACAGCAAGATTATTCGTTTTCCTCATCTCTAGAACACCACATATTTGTTGTACGGAATTTTTTAAGTCTTAAGCTTTTACGACGTATACCCAAGACCGATACTGTGGGCTAAGTCAAGCTCCTAAGATCAATACTGCCATCTACACGATGGTGCCCTCAATTCCCGCAATACTGCAAACCCCTTGGCCTGAAAGACCGTCGACGAGGATTGTACAGCGTGATGAAGAGTCTCTTCGGCATGAAGCGGGGGAGACGGAGAATCGACGTGCGTTGGAGGAGTATCGGAGCCAGAAGAGCGCGCTGCAGGAGGAGAAACTGTATGTTCTCTCTACCGGCGCTTCCTTATTCTCTACCTGATCTCGGGTGTCTATTATGTGTCTATGAAAGGGGTTCCTCCGATCTGATGTTGTGTACAGTGCCGTATGTCCTCGCCTCACGCTTCGACTCTCGGATGCCAGCACTCTGTCTCTCAGGGATGGAACCTTGGATTTCACGGCGACGCTATGCTACACAATGACTCCTGAATTTGTACCTAGCCAGCCAATCGTTCTACACCTGCTTGGTCCTAAAGCTGGAGGCCCACTATCCGAGAACGCAGTGTACTGGGGCCAGTACCAGATCTTTGCTTCGCCTGAGAACCTCCCTGAACATCGCCTTCCCTTTGAATGGCGCAATGTGAGTTTACGGCGGCCAAGAGATGCAAACGGGCGGTTCATCGATTCGAGCGATAGCCATTACGCAGCGGCGCAGACTTATGTTGTCAGCGAGGCTGAGGGATGGATTGAGCTGTTTCCCGGACAAGAAGTCAGCCGGCGCGTGACGTTACAGCTTGATCAGGCTGTTGCTTGGCAACGAGGGGTCAGCTCTGGGCGGGATTATTGGTTGCGTTGGGCGCCAAGTGGAACGGTTGGTAAACCGAAGACGTTGTGGAGCTGGAAGTATGGCGGGTTGAAGGTACGTCACCGAGTTATTGTTAGGGTTGGCCATCCAATGTCGGGCAGTTGCTGACTGTTTCCACCGCGCAGGATTGGGAAGGGATCATCCTCAACAAGAAGGAGGATTCAAAATGCTGGATACCGATTCCTATCCAGTCAGAGGAAAGCGGGCTGAAGTTCAAAGTCGTTGATGGGGCCGAGTAAGATGCAGCTGACAATCATGAAACGACTTGGTTCGCTGGAGCACCCAAAATAAACGCTCAGCAGCGAATCCTTAGGAGAATCATATTCGGCCCCATTTTTTGTATTTGGCCCCCTGATTTTCCTAGTCGACCCCTCTAGGCAGAAGTATGCGTGGAAGTTTTCGAGCCTCGACTTCAGGACTACGCATACGGATCGGCGCGATGCGCAGACTTGGCGGAGAATGATGGCGAAGAAGCGTATGACAACGCAGATAGCTGGATGCTCATCGCCCTTGGAACGTACTGGGCGGACAAGTGCGGCCGCGATATTCCTTTGAGTGAGGAATAGGAGGATTGGATGTGCGCTGGCTCTTTCTATTATCAATGGGCGAGGGGATCGTTGGCCATAGCCATCAATCCCTCGAGAAACCCTGAATATAGGTTGTTTTTGTAGAACAAGAAGAGATGTGATTGTTCTATAGAAGAGGGAGGAAGCCCTGTATAAATACTACTAGGGCGACGCTAGTGCTAGCGTGGGTGAATCACGTGATAGAATCCTAACCAACAGTTTTCGAAATATTGTGCGGTTTTTGAGCCAATCAAGGAAAATGGCGCTAGATCTAGTTTGTTAGCAAATCGTAGTACAAACAGTATCCTACTACATTTGGCATCGCCAGAACGCTCTAAAGAATGCAGCGTGTGCAGGCGTTATCTAAGAATCTCTTAGCGTATCGTTTTTTCTTTAAATATAGTGACGCTGTCTAGATGCAAATGCGTGCTTAGCTTTTAATATTTTATTGTAGAGATATAGGTAATTAACAAGTCTGTAAGAGAGATGTAGTTAGAACGAGGTGCAGCGGCAGGGTCCGCGGGAAGGGCTAGCGCGGTTTTAGTGCGGGGCAATCGCCGATATGTGCACGAAACCATGCGCTAATCTCTCTACACGCCTCGCTTCCTTATCCCTCACGCTGTAAACGCTACGCCTGTCTTCTTTGGGCGATGACTGTGCCTCTTCCTTTGTTCTGGTTATTGTTGTGCGACAATAGGCACCCATCGCGATGACGTGCGACGTCCGTGCGCGAAATCGCATGTTCACCGTGTCCCCAGCACTGAGGTTCGTTTGCGCTGCATCTTTTTACTTGGTCGTTCCAAATCGTGACGAAGATGCTCAGCGCACATCGTCTCGTTCACTCTCGTCGCCATGGAGTCTAAACCACCTCTACCTGTTTCAGCGGACTCGTATGTCTCGACTCATAGCACTGCACTTGAGAGAGCTAGTTCACAGGCTTTGGTCGGCGATGAGAACCCGCTCAACTGGTCGGCACTGCGCAAATGGCCCTTGTCCATTATCGTGATCCTGATGTCCGCAACGATGGGCTACTACTCCGGTGTGCATGCTGCCTCGATCCAGGCAGTCGCAGATTTCTACGGATGTTCGGTACTCGCGTCCACGTCTGCGGTGTCGTTCTTTCTCCTCGGATTTGCTATTGGTCCTCTCTTCTTCGCACCGTTGTCTGAAATGCTGGGAAGAAACCCGATTCTCAGAGTCGCGTTTGGACTCTTCGTCATATCCAATATCGGAGACGCGTTAGCGCCTAACATCGAGACACTGTTGTTCTTCCGCTTCTTGGGAGGCCTTTTGGGAGCGCCGACAGGTACGAGAACGAATAGAGAGAGATGGCACCCATACTGTGCTAATATCCTGCAGTTACCAACACGGCAGGCTCCCTCACTGACATGTGGGCTCCACATGAGCGAGCTGTCCCACTCGCTCTTTTTACCGCAGCAAGTTTCTTAGGTTTTGTCATCGGCCCCATCTGTGGCGGACCTATTACGCAGTACGCTTCGTGGCAATGGTGAGCAACTCCCTCTCCTACGAAACTTCTCAACAATGTCTAACAATACCGTAAGGGGCTATTGGACTTCCATGATCCTCGGCGGCATAACCTACATCTGCGCCCTCCTCTTCCTCCCAGAAACGTACGCCCCACAACTGGTCCGCGCGAAGCAAATCAAAGCTGGTGGCAACCTCTCCAATGTTGACTGGAAGAAACGCGCGCGCGATAACCTGGTTCGTCCATGGGTTATGCTCTTCACCGAGCCCATCGTGTGGGCCTTGTCAACGTACATGGCATTCCTATACGGAATCATGTGTCTCGTACTCGTCGCCTATCCCATCGTCTATAAGGAATACAGAGGCTGGTCAACTGCCAAGATGAGCGTTGGATACACAGGCCTGGCAATGGGAATGGCTCTTCCAACAATCCTATCACCTCTGCTAAATCGCGCCCATACACATTTTGTGCGCAAACTAGGTCCGCAGCCTGAAGCACGCTTCCCACTGCAGATAGCTTTCACATGGCTAACACCTATTGGGCTCTTCTGGTTCGCATGGACGGCAACAGCGTCTGTACCGGCTGTCGTGCCCATTCTGGCTGGGGTTCCGCTGGGTATCGGTCTTCTGACGGCTTTTCTGGATATTGCTGCGTATCTTACCGATTGCTATGGTATATACGGGGCAAGTGCCCTTGCTGCAAATGGACTTCTGTGCCGACTCTTTGGTGCAGCATTTCCGCTCTTCTCGAAACGGTTGTATGAGAGCTTGGGTGTACCGTGGGGAACTAGTCTGTTGGCTTTCGTCGCCACGGCTATGGCGCCTATCCCGTGGATCTTCTATCGCTATGGGCCGACGATCAGAAAGAAGAGCGCATACCATCAAGCCGCCATGGGTCGTACATAGAATGCGATATGCGTTTCTTTGTGTGTTACATAGATTGAACGATGCGAATAGTCTGAGAATTGACGGACGCGACGAACAGTGATCGGTGTTGGTACATATATCTAATGTGATCCGTGCTCAAACGCGTTAATAGCTTCCAACGCGCTGCGCCCAGGCAGCTCCCCTTGCCACGACAATTGCTTCCTCAACCCAATACGCGCCCTACGCCCATCACCAAAGACATCACTTTGCTTGTCTTGGGGAAGAGATACTTCCACCGTGAAGTATCAACGTGCGCAATGTGTGGGCCTCGCTCGAGCCAGCACCGCACGACTTCAACGCGCACCCAACCTGGCTGGACGAGCTGATGCGCCTAGGTCGAGCCTGTGACGTCCAACCTCGTACCAGCCATCCCCTACAAGCTCTCTAGCTACGCTCGTCAACAAACGCATTAGCACGCAACGGCACCAACAACAAAGACGACTTCTTCGTTTCGAGCGTTTCCCTGCCATTGCCAGTGGTATCGCACCTCTTTCGAGCCTGTATCCCCGAGACCGCCGATAATACCTAGGTGGATAGACTGTCGTCCACAGAACCTATATCGCTTGCGCATCAATTTTGGTGGAGCAATATGCACGAGGGCATTCGTCATACTCGAAGGCAGGGCAGAGACACGGTACATCAGGCGTGATCAGACTGTGGGCAATGGTGACAGCCCTGGGGCCATGTCTGCACACACAACAATTGAATATGGCGGTACTTTACGTATTCCAACCAACTGATGTGCGGATGCTATGGTGCTGTCTAGGATCTAGTCTGGCTTTTGCATCTTCTACCACGGCTGTACGTTGTGGTTAGTTTTGCACCTGCCGCTGTCACCCACACGTGGAAGCAGCGGCCCACGTGCTGCCGTGGACCCTGATTTTCACGCCGTTACCGTTAACCCCGCAAACTCCTCCTCTCACGACATCTAAGACACGTAGTTCAAGTTCTAGATGCATGCTATCAGTACGCATTCTTTTTTTACTGCCAATAGTGGCCTGATTCGACGGGTAAATTAATGTAGTTTGCACGTACTACTACTGAAGCAGCGGGTCTGGGGGCCTAGGCTCCTCTTGAACGAATGGCACAAGCGCCAGGCGCGCATGAGGCTCCTGATGTTCATTTACACCTACCTAACTCTGCTAGTATACTGTAGTGCTTATCTGCTGTTCGGTCAGGGCGCAATGCTTAACCATATTATGGAGTGGTCGTATAGCCATGCGCGGCTTCACGCTTCCCATCTCTCAACATCCACCGTCTTTGCTCTAACAATGCCAGGCAGAGATCACACCGCCGAGGCCGAGACCTTCGACTTCATTCTGGTAGGAGCAGGATCAGCAGCATGCTTGATCGCGTCACGTCTCTCGCAGCGGCTACCCGATCGCCGAATCCTCGTTCTGGAAGCCGGGGAACATGTTCGCGACGACGCCATAGTCCAAACGCCCGGTCTATCGGCAAAACTGATGTCATCTGAGTACGACTGGCAATACATTTCCGTGCCGGAGCCAGGTCTGAACAACAGGAGAGTGAAGCATCCGAGAGGGAAGTTGGTGGGGGGAACCAGTGCGATCAATAGTCATAGTGTGGTGTTCCCTAATCACGAATGGCAAGACCGTATCGCGAATGAGCTCTTATCAGATCCGGGGAAAGAAGAGTGGAGTGCAAAGAGCATGGGAGATTGCTACAGCCGATGGCAGGCAGAACACCCCGAACCCAAACTTGACGATGGTATAAAGACATCATACCCGCGTACCATGGACTATCTCCAATCTCGCTGGACGGAAGCCTTTGAGGAGCTAGGTCATCCGACGGGCACTACAGGATTTGCCGAGAGCAATGCTGGCGCAGTCACTGTCACCAATGCGATCGACTCATCAAAAGGCGAGCGAAGCCACGCAGGCCAAGCATTCCTAGAGCCCGCCTTGAAACGGGGCAATGTGACAATAAGAACCGGCATAAAGGTCGACAAGATTGCTTTTGACGAGGCGTTGACCGCCGAAGGGAAGCTTAATGCCACGGGCGTTCACTTCACACACGAAGGCGAGGAGTATCTGATCGATGGTCGAGAGATTATCCTCTGCGCAGGCGTATTCGAGTCTCCCGCGCTATTGGAACGATCAGGTATTGGATCCAAAGACGTCCTCGCGGCCGCGAATGTCCCACTCTTATACGAGCTGCCAGGCGTCGGCGAGAACTTGCAGGATCATCTGAACTGCGGTCTGTCCATCGAAGCTGGAGACGACACTCCAACTCGTGACGACGGACTACGAGACCCTATGGTGCAAAGGGCGGCATTAGAAGAGTACGGGAAAAGTCGCACGGGTCGACTGGCTGAAGGAGGAGCGTACAGTTTCGCTTTCACGCCACTGCAGTTACTAGAAACTCACTCAGAGACGGAGGAACTGGTTGCAATGGTCAAGCATTCGGTGGAAGCAGAGAGCAACCCCAGCCTCAAAGCCCAGTACTCCGTCATCCAAAAGGCCGTCGAGAGCCCTAGCGAAGCAACAGCCACGACCTTCATGCTGCGTTCACAGCGTCACAGAGACCTCGAATCGATGCCTCCAAACACGCCATCTGTGGTCGATGGCAACTACATCACCATTGTTGCCATGTTGGCGCATCCATTCTCGCGCGGAAACTGTCATATCTCCTCCGATCCTTCGCTCAAGCCAGAGATCAAGTTTAACTACCTATCGCATCCTCTTGACGTGGAGATCTTCGCTCGCCACCTCCGTCTCATTGAGAGGCTCTTCCAAAAGCCTGTCTTTACTGCTATGGCAAAACCAAATGGAAGACGATTGCCTCGAAGCTTTCCCCACCCAGTGACGTCGCTTGAAGATGCGAAAGGGATCCTTCCTATCAATTCGGCAACGAACTACCATCCTTCTAGCACTTGCTCGATGATGAGAGAGGACCTAGGGGGCGTTGTTGACGAACGACTGAGAGTATACGGAACGAAGAATGTGAGGGTTTGCGACGCTAGTGTTTTGCCGATTATACCACGAGGGAACATCTTGACCGCTGTCTATGCTTTCGCGGAGAAGGCGGTTGAGATTATCTGTGCGGAAGCGAAATCGGGCTTTATCAAACCCTAAAGACGATCGATCCTGAGTCGAACATCGGGTCTCTTGACGAGTGTAGTTTGAAAGCTCATTGTAAGACATGAGTAAATGCATTTTCGGTCACGTATCAGCTATTCTTATCCTAGGCCCTCTTCTTGATGATATCCGCCGCCTTCTCCGCAATCGCGTACATAGTGGCCTGTAGATGCGTCGCAGGAATCATCGGAATGATACTTGCGTCCACAACACTCAATCCCTTGACTCCATACACCAGCAATTCATCACTTACACAACCACCAAGCTCTTCAGGCATCATACTGCACCCACCACTGGGATGCGCGAATGTGGGTTGTAGTGAGCCCGAGGCAACACCGCCCTGGATGATCTCCTCATCGGTTTGGTACTGAGGGCCAGGAGCTGTCTCCACAGGGTTATATTGCGCAAGTTCCTTGGACGCCCAGTGTGCGCGGTTGTATCGTGTAAGGGCTACCATAACATCCGCATCAACAGGGTTCTGGAACGTGTTCCATTGGACAATCGGATAGGCGGCAGGATGTGTATTGTTGAGTGTGATAGTGCCTCGTGAGAAGGGCTTGTTGTTCGCGATACCAGAGAAACCCCATGGCTGGATGACAAGTTCGCCTACAGCGGCGTCAGTGCCGGAGAACTGCTTCGCAAGGATGTCGCGCTGCTTCTTGAAACCGGCGAGAAGCTTCTTGTCCTTTGCGTAGCGTCCCGGGAGGAAGTTGGAAGCTACTTGAGATCGTATCTTGGCAACAGTCTTCTTGAACGAGGAATCGAAGTGTTGTAGTGCAATGAAGACGAGACCGTTGGCTTTGCCAACAGAGTATGGGCCGGTGCGCGACTTCAAGTACTGATCGTAAGCTGTTTGGTTGAAGGATGAATCTGTGCCGAGGGCGTTCATGTTCTCTGGATTCAGGTTTTGAAGGTCAAAGTTCATGTAGTTGGCGATGTGGTCTTGGAAATTTGAACCCACGGCTGGGAGATCCTAGGAAATGTCAGCACAGGTCTCAGGATCATCACCACCATCCTTACACCTCATACAAGGAGAATTCTGAACAGGTCTGCAGCCTACATCAACATGGAAACCTGCAAAGTAGGTGTCCTAACGTCGATGTAGGCTCCAGCCCTGTTCAAATTTTTCGAGGTTGACGTGCTTACCTTCTTAACGGTGACACCGGCAGCTTTCAGAACGTCCTTTGGGCCAATGCCAGAGTACATGAGCAAGTGTGGTGTAAACACGCCACCAGCAGCAAGAATGACTTCTTTTGCGGCAGTGGCTTCGACTTGCTTGTTGGTGTCTTTTGGAGTATACTTGACGCCCGTGGCGGTTAAGGCGCCTACTCTGTTCTTTGAGAACATAATCTCATCGACATGAGCGTTTGTTAAAAGTTTCAGGTTCTTCCTCGACACAATGGGATCGTAGTACGCAGTGCGCGATGTACTACGCATATCAGTCGCCTTGTTGATTGAGTTCGGTGACCAGTAGTGACCGACAGGCTCTGCAAAGCCCTCCTGTGGGTGCGGAATGTCGACATCATCCCAGGAGTGATAGATAGTCTTCATATCGGGGAATTGGTAGTCCGGTATCGACACCTTCAGCGGGCCATTTCCGTAAGCCTTGGCATCATAGGTGATACCAAAAGCCTTGGTTGTCTTCTTCGAAGGCGCATCGAAGTCGTTGCTCTTCATGAAGTATGGTTTCAGCCCCTTCCAATCCCATCCTTTGTTTCCGAGCTGGCCCCACGCGTCATAGTCTGCATCAGCACCTCTGTCAAACTGCATTCCGTTCACATAGGACCCGCCGCCGACGACGTTGCCGACTGTTACTAGGAAAGTTTGGTTGCCAAGATTGGGAACGGGTGCGCTGTAGATGTCGTACATAGCAGCAAGGTT